TTCGAAAGGTTATCGTGAAACAAGTCCAAGAGACATACCCGAAGGCTACGACCATATTAAAGACTACAGTCATACAAAAAGGCCATAGCCGAAATAATGCAGCTCAGAGACATGCGACTTCCGCCATAAATTAAAGGCCTTCAAACACATTTGAAAAAACTAGTTAAATCAGGCTACCCACGGCAAAAGCAAATGCTAAAGGGCTTTGATAAAATCAGCCCTCGAACAATTTAAAGGCTTCGATAACATTAGCCTTCGAAAGAGCCTCAAGAGGCATTCAATTATCGTTACACAAACAAAATTACAAATAAGGTTCCGATCGGTCGAACCTCTGAAAAATCCAACGGGTACAAAAAACACATGCTAAGGCATAGAAAAATTTTCACTAAGTCTTTTAGCCGAAAAGAGGGAAAAATTATAGCCGTCCTAGAGGCCGAATTGGCCCAACTTAAAGAGCCTAAGGGCCGACCTAGAAGAGCCTAATGGCATAAAAGAGCTTAAGAGCCGAAGCATGTAGAGTTCGAGACCTTATTCTCACTCAACTCAGACTCAAAAATCCCATCATCCCGAGCTCGCACCAAATCGATTTAAGCATAGCTCGAGGGCTAAAAAAACCTTAAGAGGTATTCTATTATAAGTTCGAAGATCGCCCATTGATCACTAAAAAACCTAAGGGTTGTTATATTAAGAATCCGAGCCAATGTTCACTTGATCGTTGAAGTTATCAAATTTCTTTTTCACAAAATAAAGACAATGCGGAATCAGAGATGAAGCAAAGGAATTCTTTATATTTATAGAAGATATTTACAAAAGATATTTACAACACCCACGAGGGGCCCTTAAAAAAAACAAGAACGAAAGGCCAAAAACCTAATCTACTTTGGGGGCCACATCCTCGAGAACCACATCTTCGGGAGCTGCATCCTCAAGAGCCACATCTTTGGGAATCTCCTCCTCGGGGACTCCATCTCCATCTCTACGCCCTTAGAACCACTAACAACATCTTCATCATCAGAAGAAACGAGAAACCTGGAATCGGTTTCCAGTGCCTTTGCTTGGGCTATTTCTTCAGTGAGGTCGAATCCTCGGGCGTGGATTTCTTCGAGGGTCTCCCTCCAGGCTTGGCACTTGGCCAAATCATTACTCTGGTTTTTCCAGTCGGAGGCCTCTCTTAGCTCCGCTTATAGCCTCGGCATCCGTTAAGTATACGACAATAGTCTTATCAGTCGTAGCTTTCGTCTTCTCAACTTCAGCCTTGACATCTGCAACTTCGGCCCCGACTTTGGCAAGTTTTGCCTCTAGCTCCTCGATTTTCTTGACCTGGGCCAGATTCTTCACCTTAATACCTCGAAGCTGAGTCTCAGCTGAGGCCAGTTGGGCTAGAGCATCTTCTTTTCAGCAATGAGCCGATCCATGTTCTCTTTCCATCGGTGGTAGTCAGCCTTAACTTGATCGACCTCGACCCAGAGCTGCCTAATCATCTCCAACTTTTGCTGCAACTGAGATCAAAGTGTTAGCCTCTGCAGTAAGGCCAAGAAGACCATACTCTGTTAAAATCATAGTTACCTGCTTGTCTAGCTCGGCCTAGTTTTTTCGAGTTTTGGGCAGGTCAGCTCGAAGGTCCTTGAGCTCTTCCTCCTTTTGGATATAGAGGAGCCTCAGGCCTTCTCTTCATCCGAAGCCTTCCTAAGCTCGGCCTCACATTGGCTTATCTCGGCCCTGAACTTGATGATGGCCTACATATAAAACAAATACATGTTAGTCAAAAGAAAGAGAGAAAAAAGAAAATTACAATAATAAAAGTTAGTGTTTACCCGAGAGAAGAGACGTTGAGCCTCTTCGAAGAGGGTGGATGCATCATTAAGGTCGACAACATCGTCAACTCCGGTGAAACAATCCCAAAAAGGATCTTCTTCGAGAACCTTGCTCGGGTCGGGCGTTCATGGAGCCCGAGCATCCTTTATCGCCTCCTCAGAGTAAGATGGTAGAAAAGGTGAGTGACCCATTTTCACGACCCCGAGCTCCTCACTCGGGGCGCTTTGATTAGCTTCGGCCCTCTCAGCCCTTGTCTCCTCCGACGTACTTGTTGAAGGAGGGGGAATGATCTTGATCTCGGGGGATTTGAGGGCTTTGCCCGAGTCTTTCTTCGGAGTTCCTTCACCATGAGGCAAGGTCTCAGGTTTGGAGAACTTGGCAGACTCGACTGGTTTCCTAGTTCGGGGTATCAGCGCCAACTCTTCTCCTTTGTTCGCTTCATCTTCCAGATGTTGGATGGCTGGATACAAGTCCATATGGATAAACTTCCTCCTTGGCTTTCGAGTAGGGGACCTCTCGTCTTCGAGCTTCGAAGCCCTCTTTCTTTTGTTGTCTTTCCCCAATTTCGGAATCGAGGACTTGGTCTCTTCTCCGGGCGGGGCTGGCCTCATTTCGGAGACATCTCTGATGCCTGCACAAACAAGCATAAGTGAGGTGGCATAACCAATAAATGAAAAGTATCAAAAACCCGGGAAGATAACATACCATGATGTTTGGCCTTCCATTTGCCCCTCGATAATTCGCGCCATTTGCGTTCATCGTACGAGGAGGTTGCAGCTAACTTTTGGACCCATCCCTCGAGGTCGGGGACCGCGTGGGGTATTCAAGCAACATCTGCTGAAAAGGTAAAGGCATTACGAAACACGAAAGCGGAATATGAATAGGTATTTGGAAAAAGGACTTCACTTACGATTAAAGTTCCATCTCTCCGGGAATGGAATTTTTCCCCTAGGGATGACATCCAAGGTCCTCACTCTAATAAACCGGCTCATCTAGCCTCGATCTTTATCTTCGTCATTACTAGCGAAGAAGGCTTTTTTTGATTGACGTTGAATCTTGATAAGCCCTCAAAACAGATGAGGCCGATACAACCGAATGAGATGGTTGAGAGTAAACTCCAATCCCTCGGCCTTGTTGGAGAAATAACGCAGCATAATCACGATATGCCAAACTGATGGATCTGGACGAGGGTAACCTCGTACCTTTTGCATAAATCAATCACTACCCGATCGAGGGGACCCAGTGTGAAGGGGTAAGTATAAACACTTAAGAACCCCTCCACGTAAGTAGTGATACTTTCCTCGGGGTCGGGGATCTATACCACAACCTCGTCTCCCCAACCGCAGTCCTTCTTCATGGCCTTAAGGTGCTTCCTCGATATCGAGCCGATATATCGAGATACGTGTTCGCATCGGCCTGGGATTTTGGGGGGATTTTCAATATTGAAATTCATCTTTATCACACAGGGGCCGGGAGTGATTTAGTGAAGGGCCGGCGCCACCAGTTTTGCAGGCCGGGAAGAAGAAAAAGATGATGTTTTCTCTTTCTGGGGGACTGTTTTAGAAGTTTTGGCCATAGTTTTGAGCTAAGAGATACAGAAGGTAGCGGAGCGTGGTGTTTTCTAGGAATTCAGCATTTTTCCGGCACTTAAAGGAGCGGTGTAAGCGGATGATGAGAGAAAGAGATGAAGAGAAAAGGTGATCAGAGTAAAAGTAATGAAGAAGTAAAGTTTTTAATTCAAAGAAGGAGCCCCGTATTTATAGATGAGCAGTGACGGTTCGACAGCGCTAGTGGCTGACCATTATTGGCATGCATTTAATAGTTTGGGAAAGCGAACCAACGAGACGTTTTGGTCACTTCGAGCGCCTACATCATGGGAATGACGTCATCGTCAGAGACTCCGGAAAATCGAGGTTCAAATCGTTTCTTATCATTATATTCTAAAATATGGAGACTATCTGTATACGGTCGAAATCAGGTACGCCTGATTTTCTGGGCTCGAGGGGTCGCCTTAAGCCCGAGTTCAGGTAAGGTTGAGTTCGAGCTCGATGGACCAGACTCAAGCTCGAAGACAGAGTGCGATGCTCGAAGATCGAAATGAGCGATGAATATCGAAGACGAGTATGCTCAACCCCGAGATAATGCCGTTACAGGTTCGTAACAGAATAGGCGAGATTCCTGCCACGTCCCCAAGATTATGGTATAAATCCCGGAGTGGATTCGTATGAATCCGTACTAGGCGTTTAGACAGTTGTCCCAATAAAATTCTTTACTGTAAATAGAAATGTACCTTATTTAGGGTTCCCCTATTATATAAAGGGGACCTCAATCATTTGTAAACACCATCTAATCATTGCAAAGAATATACTCTCTTACTTTTTCCCTCATTGTTCATCAGAATTGTCATTTAGCTTTATTATTCTTGCTTTATTGTTCTTGGTCCATCTCGAGGTTACTTTGGCTCGAGGTCGATACTGCCTAGCAACACTGGTTTGATTTACTCATTTCTTTCATTTATACTATACTCCTTGATTATTAATTGGTATTGAACTAAATCACATATCTTTAAAATCGCAAATCAAATTTAATTGTTACTCGCATTAATTTTTGAGGTAAATAAGATTGTCTGATGAATGACTAAATTTGATTGTGTGTAAAAAATATTGGGTGTGCAAATAAAGTCCTACAATAAAAATTAATATGAATTTTTTTTATATACTCCTTATAAGATATAATGATATTCCTAATGATACGAGGCGTTGTTTAAAAATTAAATATATTAACTCATATAAATAACGAACAAGCCGACTTTATAGCAAAAATATAATTTCAGTAAAGGTCGGTTACAGAAGCACTCCTGCTTCGTCTATATAATGAAATTAATTAATTGTGTCACCTAAAAATCCAAATGAAGGTGGGAGCAAGCAAATAATAGTGCTGCAACTACTACTGTACTTGAAATAGAGTAGCAAGTTCATTGCATGAGCTCGAGGTTTTTACGCGTAAACCTCGAGTGCAGAAAAAAGAAAAGTTGTCTCCAACACTATTAACATGTCGAGATGTCTAAAGAGTTGGTTCCCCATTGAAAAGAGAAATAAAATGCAAGTGACCAATGCAATAAATACCCTATGAATAAATAGGCACCGAATTAGTTGGCCTTTCCACCTATACATATATCTCACTTCTGCACCTTTCCCAATCATGCCCAAAATCAAACAAAGAAAAGTTGATCAAAGTGGCAATGGAGAGAATTAGTGTTTTTGTTACCCTTTTGATAGTGTTGATTGTAGTAGGAAAACAAGTGCATAATGTTAGTGCAGATAACCCTTATGCTTGTTGGGGTGGCTGTTACAATCAATGTATTATTTTGAGCTTTCAAGCTGGTGTAACACCAAACAGCAATAATCCTTGTTATGTGCAGTGTTTAAGCAAGTGCATTCCTCGTTCTGCTGCTGAATACCAAAACTACTGCAAGATTGGTTGTTCTTTAGAGCTCTGTGTTCCCACTCGCTCTGGTATAAATTTTCATTTTCGTTTATGATTCACCCTCTACTTTAATTTACACATATTTGTTTTCGTTAGAGTCCCACATTGGTTGAGAGTGTGTGAAATAGTGAAAAATATCGTTATCTCGTTATAGGTTATATCATTAACTAGCTTTCGAGATTGAGTTAAAGTTTAAATTTTATTTTATTAATCAATTACAATTATATGAATTTATTGATTAAAGAAATATTCTTTTAAACCATTCAGTGTAGTGGAATTTTATTTAATTCTTTTTTTATTTGGCAGATGCGGGTGCAGATCTGGATAAATGCTTTGGCAATTGCGGAAACGTTTGTAGGGCTTAGAAATATGTATTTACCACAATGTGTGCTATTGGATGTGGTCTCACTTTTTTTTTTCCCAATCTTTTACCAAATAAATAAATGGTTCTTTGTAGTTGGCAATTCAGGTGAAAGTGAAGAGTTTGATTAGTGCTGTATTTGTTTACTCCCTTTCTGTCATTTTCCTCTTTTTCTAATGTTTCCTTCAATTATCTCCGATCAGTTACTAATTGGAAAACTTCAAGTTATCTACCACCTACTTCTTCTCCGTTTTATGGTTATGTTATACAACCAATAGGAATTCAACAAAGACACCTTGTTGTTTTACGAATCCTCGATTACACGCTTTTGGCTGGCAAGTTAGCTTCGCCTATTTCATCTATAAATAAATATTTTAATTTGCATACATGCGACATTAAATGCGACTAATATTTTTCCGTCCTATATTACAGCCAAAACAAGTTTTTAGTAATTCAGCTATGAACCTCGTACGTCCTTGAAATTCCAAAGCAATGAGGAAAGAAGCATACAATCAATGGGTTCAACTAAACCAACATATGTCAACTTTAAATTCGTAACTGTACATATATATATGATGGTTCCATAATAAAAAGTAAAATTTATACTCAACAAATTTAAATTATGAATTCGTCCCAAGACCATGACCAGGCTATTATTAAAATATATCCTAACAATTCATCAACTAGACCATGATCTCTACTTCAGAACAGTCTGTAAACAAAAAATTTCTTAATTACGTCATAGGTGGCACCTTTCTTTTATATCAAACCAAAAAAATTTACACAGAATAGAGGAATAGAGGAGGACCTTCCACCTCGCCTCTATAGAATAATTTGTATGTGTATTGGGAAAAATCAAGTTAATATATATCGAATTAATTATGTGATGACATGTCAAACAAGCAACACTACAACACCCTATCTACATTCATATAGAGGTTCAGCTCTGGCATTATTGATGTCATAACTTTGCCTCTTTCATTCAGCAGCGAAACTTCATTTACTGTAATTTTCTCAAATTAAAATATATACCATTCAACACCTTGGATTTCTTCGGAAACTTTAAATTACTTGACCTAATCAAGTGTGGAATTTTGGGACCTTTGAAACGACACGTGTTCCCATCTTTTTCTTTTTCTCTTTTCTTTTGATAAGTTGTTAAAGTATTAAAAGTAATACTGGAGTGAATGTCAAAAAGGTATAGAGGTACGTTACAACTTACATGTAGAATATTACTCCTCGTTCTACTTGATGTTCGACCATTTCAATACATTTACTTAATTCTTCAAAATGTCTCAATGATAAAGTAAAACATTTATTATACAGTAGGTTAAAAAAGTTGTTAAAGTATAAAATTCCACTCCAGAAAGAGTAATTCACTTTTCATAAATTTGGTTGGCAAGGTCAATTTTGTCCTTTGGGATATCCGGCTATGGAGGAAACACAAATGTAGGCTTTTGTTGTTAAATAAAGATTGTTGCCTAAACGGTGATAATTATTTTGTCCCTAAAAGTTCAATTCACATGTCTAACTTCGCCCTAGAATTTGACAATATAGATAGATACATTTAGTAACCTGCTAATTTGCTATGTACCACTCCCACAATAGACATCCCACCTGCTTAAGTTGTTTTCCTAATTACTCCCTTCATTCACTTTTACTTGGTATGTATACTAAAAATAAATTTTCATTTTTAAGAGACATGAAAAGTCAAAACATGCCAAGTAAAAGTGAACGGAGGGAGTATTTTATTAAATATCTGACAATCTTATAAAGTCTAGGTTATCCCTCATTCGTTACTTTTATTCGAGTAATAGCTTGTTTGGCTAAACTTTTGAAATTTAGAGCCCATTTGGATATAAGAAATTTTTTCTTTTTTTTTTTCAATTTTTTCTTCACTTTTTACTGAAATCAGCGTTTGTTCATAAAATTTCCAATTTTCACTTAAAGATGCATTTTGGAATTTTCGAAAATTTAAAAAACTCCAAAAAGTTGTTTTTCAAAATTTTCACTCAGATCACTCATAAAAATTCAAAAACAACCCAAAATGATATTCATGTCCAAACACAACTCAATTTCAAATACCATTTTCGTTTGAAATTTTTTTTCACTTTTTTTATTTTACAATTCTTATGTCCAAACACCCACTTATTTATTTGAAAAATCTATTTTAATTACAAGTATTTTTTGAAAAAAATACTTTTGAAGAGCAACAATTTGTGTTCGACTAATCAAGTTGAAAGCACTTTTGCCAATATTAGAGGGAAAAGCTATAGGACAAAGTTACTTTTTCAATTTTTGCTATTACTCAAAAGCACTGATTTAATTTGTTCCTAAAAGCTTGGCCAAAGACTTTAAGCAAAATAAGCATTTTTTAAAAATAAATATTTCTTTTAAAAAAATAAGCACTTTTAATTTCCCTGAAATTTGACCAAACCTGCTAGCACTTTTTGTCGCCACTCCAAGCTTTAGGAAAATAAAATATAAAATAATTTCACAAAAAGAATTGATTTTGACATTTTAGTATGTACAATAATATATACGGTTTATTATATGACGTAAGATCAGCATCAAAGTATTACTATAACATTATATATATGTTTTTAGTTACTATATTTGGGTTGGCTAGAAAATGTATTATAATTTAAAGGATTTAAAAATATTTGTACTTCAAGTATTCAGTTCAGGGATAATAGCAGTTTTGATCCCTACGTTATTGATGAATTCTTATTTTGAGCTTGTAATATGTCAGTAAGCATATTTAACATTGACTTCATTAAAATGTGTGTTTTGGTTCTTTTATATAAAATATATGTTATATTTAGATTATTTTAGAACTGTATTACCCTAAAAAATATGACACATGGTGATAAATGATTTAACAGTCAATAATTCATTAAATTTGCAGAGGTTCACAAGCTAAGGATCAAAAGTGCACATTTCACTTACGAGTTCATTACTCAATTGTTCACTCAACTATCCTAAGTTACCTCCTAAAGTCACTTTTCTTTCGTTTGTAATAACAAAGTCACTGAACTATGCATATAGCACTCAGAAAGTCACTCAACTAGATTTTCCAAAATTTGGATTGCAAAATACCTATTTTACCCTTTAAATTATAAACATTTATCTTCTTTTTATTTTTTTTAAAAAACTTTTTAATATATGATTTTTGCCTTTTTAATTTATATTATGGACTTATCTATAGAATAAATAAATATTATTCATAAATTAAAAAAAAATTATTTAAGCATATATAATGTTGGAATAACAAAATAATGAGCAGGGTAAAATTTTTAATAAGAATAATTTGTTCGTAATAATAATTTTAGTATTAACAACAAAAATTCAAAAGTTTATTTACAAAGTTCAGAATGAAAGAAAATAAAGGTTGTAAAATATATATTTCATGCACGTAATATAAAAATACTTATTTAAATAAAGATATTTTTACAATATACATTATATATTCTTGAAAATTATGCTCAATTATGTTAAAGCTTGTAGAATATTATTCATTAAATGCTACCGGGTGACAGGCATGTATTTCATCTTTATGAGCATTATTCTTTCCGGTAAAAATGAAATAGTTGACTTCGGTCTTAGCTATCCCCTGCCTTCGGTTCCACGTGTCACCCTCTTATGCAATGACTTAACATAACATATTTTACCCTATACAGATAGTTGCCCTGCTTTCCGGTGACATAACTTTATATCGTCGGAAAGTTGGTAGAAACATAATAATATAATTGAGCATAATTTTCAAGAATATATAATGTATATTATAAAAATACTTTTATTTAAATAAGTATTTTTATATTACGTGCATGAAATATGTATTTTATAACCTTTATTTTCTTTCATTCTGAATTGTGTAAATAAATTTTTGAATTTTTGTTATTAATACTAAAACTATTATTACGAACAAATTGTTCTAATTAATTTTTTACGATGCTCATTATATATGCTTAAATACTTTTTATTTTTTAATTTATAAATAATATTTATTTATTCTATAGGTAAGTCCATAATATAAATTAAAATAGGGAAAAATCATAATATTAAAAAAAATTAAAAAATAAAAAGAAGAAAAATGTTTACAATTAAAATAGGTATTTGGCAATCCAAAATTTGAAAAATATAGTTGAGTGATCTTCTGAGTGCTATATGCATATATAGTTCAGTGACTTTGTTGTTATAAACGAAAGAAAAGTGACTTTAAGAGATAATTTGGGATAGTTGAGTGACCATTTGAGTAATGGACTCTTTCAGTTAATTGAAGGTTAATATACTTAATCACATATTACAAGAACCAAAGTCAAAATTTATCAATATTTCAGGGTCTAAAAGTTGTGCAAATTTTCACTTAATGAAGCATCCTTGACATTGTTCACATATTGGAAATTTTCAAATTTAATTTCTTTACGTTTATTTAGTAATTTGGAAAACTCAAAAATTAATTTCTTATCTATTCGGCAACCAAGCATGTCCTACCCCATTTTGCTATGTCAGGTATGATGGCGAGAAAGGAAGGCGCTATTTCTCAAAAATGTATCACGGCTAGTATTATGTCCTACCCCTTAGTCAGCCCCAAAAAGTGATATCGAACGCAGGATGAAAAATCCAAAAAAAAAAAAAAAAAACA